AAGGTCCCTTCCGACCCTACTTCTATGATTCTATGAATATAGTGACACTTCAATGAGTTGAAAAAACACACAGCCTTGTAATCATGCATCTCCACTATACTCAAATGTATTAAGAAACCATATTTAACTGGCATCTAAAGAGCAAGCAGCACCAGTTACTGATCACTGAGATATGTATTTTAATTAATATCACAAGAATTAAGCACATGGTAAAACTGCTTATAAATCACTTTTTGTGGACCAGATGCTGCCTCCTCCCTGGATGGTCCTTGTCCTACAATATAGAAGTCCTAGTAGGTGACAGGGCCATCACATCACAACTGTGGGGCTTTTTTTGTTCAGGGCCCTCTATTCCATAATGTCTTTTCTTAGAGCCTTGCAAGAGAGCTCAAGACAGGGGAGTGCCTAACATTCTCCACCGCCTACATACCTATAGCAGGACAGACCCTTGAGGGTGACTGTGGCTCCCCCTGATGGCCCATTCAAACCTGCCCACTCCAGCTCCTAAGGGTACCCCCTCACTGCTTTTCCTGCCACACCTTGCTACAATTGCTACATTACTTTAGGAAGCTGACCTAGAGCCCCAGGTTGACCCTGGTGGTGTTGCACTTAAGTCCCTTAGCCAGACCCTTGGTCCTACTTATATCACCAGAGGCTCAGTCTACTACTTCAAAATATTCTGCACTTTGTAAGCACTGCCCATGCCCTCCTGGCCCTAATTGTGCCTGAGGGGCACCAAACCTGGCCCTCACTTCCCCCCCATAGCCAGACCCATGCCTCACAGGTTGCCTCAATTCCATTCTGACCTATGCAGAGCTGTTGCCGCCATTTGGCATAGTCCACCAGGTCCCTGACCCTTGCACAGCTGTATCTTGGCCTCATCCCTGTATAACAGGGAATGCCTCCCAAGCATCCAACCTGTGACCCGCAACTGCCCATATGTAGACACACCTAAGCCTCTAGTCAGAAACAGAAGCACAAGCAAACTGCTTCAAACTAAAACACTTCAACCCTGTTCTGGGTCACTATCCCACAGCAACTCCTACTCTCCTTTTAGCTGTCTCCTTCTAGCTCTCTGGGCTGGCTATGGGTCTGGCTCCAACAGCCTCATGCCCCAGGAGCTCCTCTCCCTGAAGAGGTTAGGGCCAGTCTGCCTTCTCTGGTCCTAGAGCTAGACTTATCTCTCTTTCTACCAGATCTTGATTATCTAAACCAGGCACAGGGGTTTCTCCTTTGCCCACTAATAACCCTGCTCCCTTCTGTTGCAGCCAATTGAGCTGCTCTGCTGTCTGTACTTATCTGACTTCTTGGAGTTCTGCCCCTTTACAGTTTATTGCAGGACAGCTGACTTCAGGATAACCACACTCAGTTTCGTAGCTCCTATCCCTGTCATCTACAGGCTGCTTACTTTCTAGCAGCAGGCCTTTGCTCAGCTGCCTACACCAGATTACAGGTCTTGCCCTACTGCCCTTTTCCTTTTAAAGTAACAGGAGCCCTTGCTCCCTCTTATAGTACTTTGCTTTAAATGTGCATGAGGGACACAGAGAAGCCCCAGGTCCCTTCCAGCCCCTAAAAAACTATGAAACTATGCTACTACAGCCCATATGCTCTACCAATGACAGAGTAGCAGCTGCATAGCTATGCTGTGCCAAATCCCTGGTTAGCTGAGAGGATTTCTTCCTCTGGCCTCCCTTAGATCCCATGAAAACATCTTATTTACTTGGCATTGGAGGCATGGAGGTCAGTTGCATTTGCCCCTGTAGAATTAGACTAGGAATAGTAATAAACTGCAAGACACAGGTAAACACTCGAAACAGAAGACACTGTCAGGGAGATGCAATCAGAGAGACTATATGCTGTTCAACAGGTGCACACAGCTTCTCATGATAGGGATCAGTAAAGTTGTGCTCCAGGAAAGCCCCAAGCAATACAGCAGTCTCAGAGGTAATGGTGCCTCAGACTGCATTATAATATGCACAAAATAAGAGCAGAGACAGAAGAAAGGAAAATAAGCTGGGGTAGGAATGTTTTCTCTCAAAATGATGACAAGGTCAGTGAGATGTATCTTGACTTCACCGGAACAGGCTATATTCTGAAAACAAGGGACAAAGCAGGCCTGTGGATTGGCACTGGCAGGCAGAGACTTTATTATTGTTCAGTAGCCCATGTGAAATGCCTTTGCTTCTTTTGGATAGCCATATGCAGCTGGTACTACTTGGCAAGCTCAGCAGGAAGACAAAGAACCTAATATGCTAGGAAACCTGATTTTAGAAATGGCCCCTCAATATCAAGGCTGAGACAAATTGGTGAGACACATTTAGGAAAATGACATGGTAGCAACCTGTACAGCGAGTAAAGAGGTAATCTTCTAATACAGTCAGCAGAGGTGCTTAGGTTGGGATCCCTCATATTTAAATGAGAAGCAGCTGGCATCAGGGTGGTCTACGAAAGTGATCCTTCACCACAAGCTGCTTCCCTTTACTATTTCACTTGAGCTTGCATTGTTCAATCCACAAGCAAGCTGCAAAACTCATTTTTTTTAAAAAAGTGGACTTCTGGGACCGAGCTGAAGTCATCAGAGGGTTGGTATGTAGGAACAACTGTATCACCATCACGAGGTAATCCATGGACAAATTTTTGGAGTTTCATGGGCTCCGTCCTCCCCAGGGACCCCAGGACTATCTCTTCCAAGGCCTGTTCTGGCCCCACACTCTGCCCTTCAATGGGCTCAGGCCCTCTATTCTTCTGGCCGCTCTTGCTGGGCCAGTTGAGACCTCCATACCTTCCACAACCACCAGGAGTTACTCACCACCAGCCCTCTCATGCCACTGTCCCATCTGTTCCAAGGACCAGTTTGCCCTTTTCAGGCACTGCTCTCTTTGTTACCTGAGCTTTGGGCACCCTGGCCCTCCACTCTCTGCTGTCCTTCTCCACGCTATGGGCTCACATGCTCCTAGTCCCAGGCCCAGTCTGTTGCTAGGCTCAGTGCTGCTTACCCCAGCTCAGCAGCTATCAAGAGCCCTGCTGCCAGGACCTCCTCTCACAGCACCAGTCAGGGCTTATGTACCTCAAGCCCAGCTGACCCCCTAATCAGTCCTCCCCCTCCTTGCCACCTGCAAGCTGCTTCTCAGGCAGCCTCTGCTCTTAAAGTGACTGGTGCAACCAACCACCCTGTCAAAATGAGGAAAAACTGAAAAATGTTTCATTTTCTGTCAGCCCAAAATGATTTCTGTTTTTTTTTTCAGTTTGGCAACTATATAATATATTAATCCATGTAATAATATTCACTCAGTACAACACCTGATTTGGAATTGAGTTGGAATTCAAAAGCAAAATAGTAAGTGGAGGATTATTTGTGCTAAAGTCTTTTAAAGACTTTTAAAGCAAGAAGTCTTCACTTTTGCAGTCTGATGCATGTGGGCAGACTCCCCACAACATCAGTGGGGCTTCATAGGACACAAGGGTCTGTTCTTATGGATCAAGGTGTAGGATTGACACTTAATATTACAGCAAGGACTGCCATCTCTCAGGCTGACAAACTGGAAGCATATGTCACATGTACATTTTTTTTTTAAAGATGCAACTTACTGTTTTTCTTGTACATCAAGATTTCAAAGGAGTTCATCTCGTAGTTTTCAAATGTTTGCCGGACCTTGTCAATTGTATCTTTGTCTGTCAGTTCTCCATACATAAAACTGAAAACAAACCAAAGAATTCAAGTAAGATACTGGAGGAATAAACAAAACCATTTGTTTACAGTGTGAAAAAAGGTTTAACCAAAAATTACCCTTGTCAGATTTTGTAGTATTGTTTCACCTGCTAAGCATAACTGACAGATACAGCCTAGGGAGATTAAAGAGAAAACTGGAATAAACAGATTGGATTCCCAACCTCCCCTGCCCTCTTCAAGTAACAACATAACATTACAAGTTATTTAATAGAAAGTAAATCCGCTCTCAAATACCTGCAGGTGCTGCTCTTTTGCATAACTTCTGCTCTGTGATAGCCTGATAGCTTGCAAAATCCATCATTGCTGTACACAATGGGCCAATCCACTATCTGGGCATTGCCCAAGACAAAATTAGTATCTGTTTGAAAGAACACATCAGTTAGACATTAGATAAGTCTGTGTCTGCACTTCCTGGTTCTATCCACTTTGCGACCTAATCCTGCTCACTTTACTCAATGTATTCCCATGGAAGGAGTCAACATGATTTAAATTTGAGTTCCCTACCTAAAACCTGCGTGATGGAGCTCTATACAAATGAAAGGCAAGGGAGAAGAAATCAATCCCACCCTAGTGCCAGAGTATGGTTTTTAACACAGCTGTTCCTCCCTGCCACTGAAATCCAGCCCTACACAGAAACATCTAAGCACCACTCAGGCAACACATTGGGGATCGGTTATTTTTTATGAATGTAAACTCAGCACCCATCACTGCTGACAACACCCTTTCAATGGCAGGCAGGGCACTGAGCCCCACTCATTGTCACCCATGGTCTGAACATGGTGCCTTCTGTTGTGCATCTGTGGCAGGGTAAATTTCCCCCCTGCAGAATAAAGTAAGCACGATTCAAGCCTTGATGCTCACATGAACTTTGTGCATTGCTAGTGCATAAAATGATACCACATTCAAACACTGAGCCTACTGCTTCTTGCACACAGAGGCAGGATCTCCACTGACATGGATCTTGTGCAGCCAGGTACACCAATCCAGACTGAAAACAAAATGCTATCACTTGTATGGGTGGATGGGGCCACTAAATAGCTGACATTGTAGGTTCTCCTCTGACAGCTGCAAGTGATTACATAAACAAGGAAGCTGAGAATCAGGCCCACCAGCTCTTTGAAAACTATTTAAAAACCTCCACCTGAGTTTCACCCGCAGTGATACAGAAGGTTATCTTTAAGGGCATTTGTAGATAACACTTTAAAGCAGGTTTAAAGAAGGTTAAATGCCTTTTGCACCACATAAATGGCATTGCTGTTTGCACATTCAGCGGTATATTGCACATTAATTCCAGCCGCCGTAGCACTTTCGGTGGCATAATGCGCCTTATATGACTTCGGGCCACAGCAAATGACTTTGGGGTGCTGCAAAGTAAAACACCTCTGAGAAGTTTTAGTTTCTAAACCCTACAGCTGCAGAGGGAAGCACCAGGCCCCATGCAGCCCAGGAAGGCAGGCTCCACAGAAGTGGTGGAAAAAGCAGCAAGCCTGATCATCTTTTTTTCCTCTCAGAGCCTGCCTACCTGAGCTTCAAGGGGTCCCAGTGCTTCCCCTCATGGCTGCACTGCCCCCCCAGGACCACCTGAGCTGGGTGCCACCTAGACCAGGGGCTGCCACAGAGGGAAGCACTAGCCACGCAGCTCAGGGACTGCTCTGCCCACTGCTTCAGTTTAGGGAGAATGAAACCTGTGTCATGTACAAACCCCCTAAGAGTCCACAATGCTAGCTAATTTTCTGTATATGTTGCACGCTCTAGCTGATCAAATATTTATGGCTTTCACCAGTGATTCTTGCAAGTGAAAGACACAAACAAGACTATTTAACTATTAACTGTAAAGAATTTAAGCCAAAAAAAAGCTCTCTTCAAAATCTTTGGTAGAAAGGATGAAGGGGTTTAAACAGAGTACATCTTCAGGCATCCAGTTCTACTGCCCATTCCCACTCACAATATGAAAAGCATCCTTATATACCCCTTAGAGCTAAATATACCAGTAATATAGCTACACTATATACATACAGACATTTTAACTGCTTTGTTTCTTACAAACTATTTTAAGTCTCATGGTTTTTTGTCTGAGTGTCTTGTCCCAGAAACAATATGTGTATTTTACCCCTCACTATGAATAAACAAGTCATTCTTTTCATTGCTGAATCAAGTTCCTGGAGGGTTTGCTGGGGAGAAGGGAAGAGAGGAGGGGCTGTTTGGTTTACTTTGAATGCTGCATTCAATCTTGCCATCAAGAAACATGAAAAGCAACAATGGAAGAAATTTCAGGTCACATTCTGCCCTGGCCTCAATTATTTTAATGATGTTTCCATTAATATTGGCTGCTATCTACCCTGTCCTAAGAGGTAAATTCTAACCCCAGAGCTGAGCTGTGCAAAGGACTCTTTTACTAACTTAAATGGTGACTCTCCATTTGCATCTAAACACAGACTGTTCCAGGTACATTCAGGATTCCAGTTACAGAATATCTTTTCTATAGCCATTTTAAATACTTCATAGTTTCATAGTTTCATAGATTAAGGGTCGGAAGGGACCTAGTAGATCATCTAGACCGACCCCCCGCCCAGGCGGGAAAACAACAAAAACCCCAAAACAAGAAACGGGACTCAAATGAGTCCAGCCAGGTAGGCATCCAGCCTCTTCTTAAAGACCCCCAGGGTAGGGGCCAGCACCACTTCCCTTGGAAGTTGGTTCCAGCTCCTAGCCGCCCTAACTGTGAAGTAGTTTTTGCGGATGTCCAATCTATACCTCCTCTCCATCAACTTGTGCCCATTACTCCTTGTTATGCCAGCGGGCGCTAGGGGAAACAGCATCTCCCCCAAACCCTTCTGGTCCCCCCTAGTGAGTCTATAGACGGTCACCAGGTCCCCCCTCAGCCTTCTCTTGTGGAGGCTGAATAGGTTCAGGTCCCGCAGTCTCTCACTGTAGGGTCTGCCCTGTTGTCCCCGGATCATGCGGGTGGCCCTCCTCTGGACCCTCTCCATGTTGTCCACATCCCTCTTGAAATGGGGCGCACAGAACTGGACACAATACTCCAGCTGTGGCCTGACCAGCGTCGCGTAGAGGGGGAGGATCACCTCCTTGGCTCTACTCGAGATGCACCTGTGGATGCACGACAAGGTCCGGTTAGCCCTGCCAACCATGACCTCGCATTGTCGGCCCATGTTCATCTTGGAGTCAATAATGACTCCAAGATCCCTTTCTGCCTCCGTGCTCTCGAGTAAGGAGTTCCCCATTGTGTAAGTGTGCTGCTGGTTCCTACTGCCCAAGTGCAGCACCCTGCACTTGTCCGTGTTAAAACGCATCCTGTTCCTGTTAGCCCACCCCTGTAACCTATCCAGATCCCTCTGCAATCTCTCCCTCCCTGCTAGCGTGCTCACCTCCCCCCAGATTTTGGTGTCATCAGCGAATTTAAACAGGTTACTTTCCACCCCATCATCCAGATCGCTGATGAAGAAATTGAACAGCGCAGGCCCCAGGACCGAGCCCTGGGGGACTCCGCTACCCACCTCCCCCCAGGTCGAATATGACCCATCCACCACCACCCTCTGAGTGCGACCCCTCAGCCAATCTGCAATCCATCTGACTGTGTAGGTACTTATCTGACTCCTATCATCTTCATGGTTGAGTACCTCACAATCTTTAAAGTATTCACCCACACAATGTGTCTGAGAGATGGGGAAGTACTTTTATCTCTATCTTTTAGATGAGGAACTGAGGGCTAGAGCCATGAAGGGACTTCAACATTGCACTGCTGAGCCTATTTTTCAGGTATCTGGTTCCTGCCACCTCGAGTGAGGTGCCTAAACTTCCTGGAAATAGCCCAGGAAGACTTGGGCAACTCCGGATGGAACTGTCAAGGGCCAGCAAGCTGTGAACATAGCTAACCAAGCTAGTCAACTGATAAACCCGAAGGAAACACTTACATTCCACCCTATTCTAGGACCTGGGCTTTTAACGTTTTCAAGAAACTGAATGTCCAGTTTTGAAGCAGGAACTGAAATCTGGGGTCTCAGAGGAAAACAGGAGCTGTCTTAATGTGCTACATTTATCTCCTTACTCCACTCTCCAAAAGGAAAATAGTTTTGTGCCTATTTGGGGCCTGCCCCTTAGATGTGTGTAACTCAGTATAAATCTCAATTGATACATGTTTTGGATTGACAAAGGACTGAAAGACAGGGACAAAAACTTCCCCTGTACAGTTCCTTCTAATGAATAACCTCTAGGCATGACTAGTCTGTTCACTTTCTTCCTTGTGACAAGGTATTTAGCAGAATTAAAAGAGTAATGGGAATCTGATAGGGCCATGCCATGAGCACTTCTTCTATGGCCTCAAACTTGTGACCTCTGAGCTGTCAATTGTGCACTTTAGCACCCAGACCACCTCAGCCCCACTTTGTTCTCAGAACATTCCCAATACTACTATCTGAGCTCAGTTTCACTAACACAACTTTACATTTCTTTAAGATCTCTGACAATACACTATGCTGAAAACACTCGTAATCAGTGAAGCAATCACTCCGCGACATAAGGACCAACAGTTATTGAGGCAACTCTTGCCTCTCTCCTATTCAGAGACACAGAGTTCCAGAGGTAACAGAGGATCTGAGGTTCTGCAGTTCAAAAGGGAGGAGGGACTCTTTTGTGGTTCCCTGAGTACCGTAGGGCTCAGGGATTTCCAAGTGGACCTGCAAGGCCAGGAAACAAGCAGCCCAGAGAAGAATGCAATTCAACAGAGCCATCATTCCTTGCTTTTTGACAAAGCCACATTATCCATCCCTCTTCATGGAACGAGGTAGAAATACTGACCCGGGCTGCTGTAGCCCTAAGGAAATTTTGGGAGGTTTCCTTTCCCACAGTCCAAGCAGATCTCCCAGGTAATTTACTCAGACACAGTTAGTTTACTTGGACAGTTTAGAAGGACAAAGGTTTGGGGCACTCTCTCATTCCAAACACAGATTAGCAGCCAAGGACCAAAGCTCTAGGACTCTGCATCAGTGAGGTCTGTGAAATGGAGCACTCTGATTTCAACAAGTCAGATCCCAATCTAGCTCTCAGACCCTAAGTGCAAAAAGGTCTTTAAACCACACCCCTCCATTCCCCCATTCCTAATCCTAGAGCTGGCTGGAAACCAATGCAGCTGAACCTGCAGAGCATCTTAGAGTAGTACAAGCTGTTGTAATTCCTGGCAGGTGCCATTTGCACTGTTAGGCACCATAAACGCAACTGGCTGAAGAAGCACTCCAACTGCATTCATTCCCCTGCTGGCCATACCCCCTGTGCATGTGACCAAGAGAAGATGAGCTATTATGGCATTGCTATACTACCCCATGATGGGTTTATGGAAGGGAGGGAGAATCCTACACTGGTTACTTAAGAAGTGTTTAGTCCAGCATTCTGCAGAGGAAGTTGTGCAAAGCATGTTGGGGACCCAAGTCCAATGGCCACAAAGCATTCCCTAAACATAACTCTGGCAAAACAGAAGGACTGCAAAAACTCAACAGCTGGCCACCTGAGAATGTTCCTGGTATAGACCCAGGCTGTAAACATCCCTGCACTGCCAGCCTGAAACTGGGACACAAGACACTACAAAGAATCAGGACTGTGCTGCAACCCATGAGCAGTCTGGAGTAGCGTCAACACCCCAAAGCTTGGACAGCAGGTCTGATTTGAGGCATAAAGCTTCTGAAAGCATAGCTTCAAATCAGACCAGAGTCTTTTCCTACTCCAGGAGCTTCATAAATTTATGAACCTAAAAATGACCCGTTGCAGCCATCCCATAAAGGGTCATGAGTTACTAGAACTGCTTGCAGAAGTAAGAACTGCTCCAGCTCTTAGGCTCTGCAGTGGGTCCTAAATGCACAGGCAACAGCCTCATGGAAGGTCCTACTGCCTATAATTTGTCCTGCTTTTTCAAATGTGTACAGATTTAGCAAAGAGCATACTATTCACTATAACCTATACATGCACCAGCTCTTATACGCTCAACGGCAAGACCTCTTTGAAATATTAATTTAAAATACACCAAGACGTAATAGGTTTCAGGCAGGGTGGGACAGGAAGAATGCATTTTGAATGCCTTGAAAACATTTAAATGTTTTGTGTGTGTTTTCCCCCCCCAGGAGTATTTGGCAAAATCATTTACACAGCAACCATGCATAGAAAAAATCCTTTCCAAATACTAACTGTGTCAGTGAATAACGAGTCCATGAGAAAAAGAAAGGGTGAATGGAATGGAAGTTTTTAGAAGGTCAGCTACAGCCTCCGACTCCCAGGAGAAACCGGGCTGCCCCTCTCAGGTTGATACAATTGAATTGATCCACCTTGCTGCCCCCATACATCATCTCATTTAAACTGTCCCCATTTTCAGCAGATCAATATGCCAAAGAATCAGAAGCACCACAAAGATTCACAACTGATCCTACCAATTATTTAAGAGGAAAAATAAAAAGGCTTCAGTGAAGTCACTTCCCTGAGAAAGAGAACTCAAGGAATGGACACCCCTCCTCTCCACTCCTGCCTGTGCTAATCCTACCACACACACACATTCCGACTCCATATCTATACTAGCTTTCCCTATGATCCAATTCATGCACCCCTACCCACCACAATACTACAGGCCAACATATGGGCTCCATCTCCCCTGACCTTTAGCTGATCTGTAAGGTTGGGTTTGTGGCCTGGTGCAACTGCCACCCCAACTCACACCAATGGAGCTATTCACAAGTTTCACCAGAGTGAGAAAAGAATCAGCCCCACCCACCACATTGTGCAAAGTACAGAGTACTTCTTTCAGTGTCTGTTAATACTTCCAACAATCCCTCACAGAACAGAAATTAGTTTACTAGTGCCTGAGGATGGACTAGTACCAATATTTATCATGCAGTATGTGAATGCCATGTCATATCTCTACATAGAAACACTGGCCTATTGCAACCCTGCATGGACCTTCAGAAGAGCTTGAACTTGGACTTTCAGTACTAAAACCAAAATCTGACTATTGCTATATAATGAACCGTAACTCCATTACATAACAATAGCAGTCTCCATTTCTATCCAAAGGCCAGAAAGGGGATGCAGACACCTGCAGCATGACTGTATTTCACTCAGCCACATAATGCCATTTTTTGGGGACTTAAGCACAGTTTGCAATCCTACTCCATGTAAGCATCCACACAGCTACTAAGCACATGCAGTAGACTGAGCTCTGGCCAGGCAGGTACAAGATTGCATACACAAATAATTAGACTAAACAGTCACAAAACTGTAGCCAGCAAAGCAGGAGGAGGTGGAGGATGAGGACCCTCCTGTGTTTTAGCCCACAACTGCTGGTGTTTTCAACATTCACTCAGGAAGTGGAAAATCTAAATTCTGAGTCCCCCCCCCCTTTACCCAGAGGGGATTTGAACCTATGTTTCACCAACATCCCAGTATAGCATTCCCGCCTGGCCACAGGTTAGTATTCTCTCCAGCTCTCTTTTTGAAGCTTTTCTACTGCTCTCCATCCATTTTATCCAATGAGCATTATATAAGAGGTGCAGTGGTTCAGCTTCAGGAGGAGGACAGGAAGGGCTTGGATAATGCCTCATCTAGACCTCATGATTGAAGCACAGCACTGGGGAGTCAGAGAAGATTGGTTCAAATGACCTCTGGGTGAGGCGTGACTAGAACCTGGGTTTCCCACTTCCTCCTCTTTATCACCACGCCAGAAGTTCAGGATTTAGGCTTGGGTGCATGTATATAGACATAAGCCATGAGCACAACCTACTGCACATGATCAGTAGCCATGAAGTGTAAGTTCAAAGACTGTGCATAACTGACAAAAATGGCAGTTACACAGATGGGTAACTACTGTTTAGCTATGTAAAGTGAAATAGGACCGTGCCCTTAGCTGGTGTGTTATATTAGCAGGGCACTGAACCGCACAGGTGGCATGTCACAATCAGCATCAGAAGTGTAACATGCTTTCTATGTCCCATGTGTGTTACAAAACACTGCAACTGCTTTGCTGAAAATAAGAAGCAATGCCATGGAAAAAAAATGTTATGTACCAATCACATTATTAAAGGCTGCATCATAAAGCATAAGCAGAAGGAGACAACATTGAAATCATCTGGACAACCTTAATTCTGACATTTCCAAATTTGTGAGCAACTGAATTTACAATCCGCATAATGATTTTTTAATCTGGTGGGGATGAGGAAGACTGGAGTGCTTGTTTCTGGTTGGGAACACAATACGGACATAAGCCACCCCATTACAAATATACCTGTCTCAGCATTTTACGTTCAGGCAGAGTTCATGCTCAGTTCTTGTATTAACTATTCCCATAGAGCAGGTATTTACTTCATCATAAGCTCAGGGGTAACTCTGCATGAAGCAGGGTTAAAGATGGAGCTGTGTCACTACATTTATATTCTTCTTGACTTGTCCACACAAAACCGCTAAAACAGTTGCTGCTGTGCAGTTCTGAGCAAGACTCACTCCCTCTCCCTTTGAAACCGTTCCAAATGTGCACATGCCCACACACATCAATGCAGTGCTCCACCCAGACTAATGTACCTCAGTTCTGAGAGGAACCCTGGTATCTTTCTGCACAGCACTGCATTCTGCATCGTAGGCATACCCTTTTCTTTTTTTAAGATACAGCCTGATTCTATAGACAGAACAATGCACTGGATAACCTTGCAGATATGGTTAAATTCTGCCTACAGATTAAGGTTCATATAAAAAGCTAACCAGTGTCATAAATTCACAGGTAGAAACACTCCAGAGCAATGGGGTCTTTTAGCCTCATGGGCCAGATAAGTGGCACAGGACCTACCTGTGGGCTGGATTGGGCCCTGGGGCCCAGCACCACCCCCTACTGCCCTCCCAACACTGCCCCCCCCCAAGCATTTGGTCATTTCTTTTTCATACCATTTGTTGTTCCTTGTAATAAATCCATTTGTTTCCTTGTTACTTTACCAAAGTGCCTGTGATAAATCATGATTTCTGGGCAAAATTAATAACAAGGGCATACCCATTCAACAGAGCAGGGGACCAGTAAGCTTACACAAACCCAGGGGGTATCTCTGGGAGCACCCTGACACGCCAGGGTATTGTCATACCCAATATAGAGAGACAGGGTTTTCCAGAGTTGCTACAATGCAAGCAGGATTACAGTGCAGCACATACTGAAGACTGCATTCTAAGCTTGCTATTTGCACATAGAGCATGCTACAAGGACATGCTGAAAAGAACTATAAAAAATGCCTTTCACCATACTTCTCACTTACCAAAACAACAACTTTCTAGTGACTTGGTTTGAACAGTTCCACAGACTGAAATCTACTTACCACCATCAGTTCACAGAAAGATGAATAGTTCCATGCCAACCTTTGTTATTTTGCAGTGCTATAGTAAACATTTGACAGTAGGCTTCTAAAATGGGAAGAATTTAAACTGCACAGAGCAATTCATCCTCATCAACAGTAATAACCCTAACCATTTGGACAGTTACATATCTTTAGAAGGATAATACAATAGC